TTGCACGAACGTGGAGCGGAGGCGACGGTCGCGGCGATGGACGGGGCGGCGGAGAATGGGCACATTGACGTGGTGAAGTTCCTGCACGATCGTGGAGCGGAGGCGACGGTCGCGGCGATGGACCGCGCTGCGGAGAATGGGCACTTTGACGTGGTGAAGTTCCTGCACTCCCACCGCACCGAGGGCTGCACGAAGGAAGCCCTCTATGGCGTACTGGAGTTCACGTGGACCGAGGATCGGGTGGAATTGAATAAACGAGCGGAGGTTGTCAAGTTCCTGCTGGAACATCGCCCCGAGGTGGCAGACATTGCGGCCGACATCGTGTACGTTCCGATCTTCCAGTGCTTGCATGTACTGCCGCGAGCATGCTTGGAGATCATCCAAGTCTTACATCGGCTATCATCAAAGGACTGGTCTGATCCGGCGGTGAAGATTGATCTGCCAATGGACTTGGCGGCGGGCGCGGGACTCTTGGATGTTCTAGAATTTTTGCACAGCAACCGTAACGATGGCTGTACAGAAGCTGCTGTGAATACGGCAGCGGCAGGCGGCCATTTGGCGGTTGTAAAGTTCCTGAACGAGCATTTTGGAGAGGTCTTCACAGCGACTGCGATGGACGAGGCGGCAGCGGCGGGACACTTGGACATTGTCGAGTTCCTCCACGAGCAACGGACCGAAGGATGCAGCAAGGTGGCGATGGACGCGGCAGCCGGTAACGGCCATCTAGATGTTGTCCGATACCTGCACATGAACCGGAAGGAAGGGTGCAGCAAACAGGCCATGGACGTGGCTGCAGAGCGAGGGTATCTGGAAGTGGTCAAGTTCCTCCACGACAATCGATCCGAAGGCTGCAGTCATGACGCCGCGACGGGCGCCTTCCGCAAGGGGCACCTGGATGTGGTAGAGTTCCTCGGAGTCACTTACGGTCTGACCCCTGAGGGACTGGACGATACCAAATTTTGGACCGACGTCATTGAGGAGCAGATGCGTTCCGGCGATCCCGGCGTTCATCTGCTGCCGCTGCAGCGCATGCCCGTGGCGAGCATGGCTGCAGCCGTGGTCGCCTGCACGGACGCAGCACAACGCGACCACCTGGCGTTCCGGTGCGTACAGCTCGAGCTCGCAAAGCACCTTGAAGCCGTGCTGGAGACGACCCCCGACGTGCTCGCCGCAGCGTCTCTCGAGGCTGTCGTTGGCAACGAGACACTCCAGCTCTGGGGCACGCCAACAGTTGACGTGCCGGAGTACGGCGTGCCGGAGTACCCGTCCAGAATCACAGCCGCCGCCAACCGCCGCCGCATCGAGGTCCTCAAGACCCTGTGCGCCCACCGCCCAGCGCTCTTCTCCGCCTGCGGCGCCGTCACGGCTTTGATGGAGTCCTGCGTGCGCCACCTTTGCTTCAGCGAGCTGCTGTGGCTCTGGGAGAGTTTCCCGGAACCGGCTGCCGCGCACCCGATGTTTGCCCGGTTCCGCCCTGCGCTGGGCATGCTCGTGCGGGGTGAGGCGCGGAGCGCGGCGCAAGCGATGGACATTGCTGTGTCCAAGGGGTCGCTGGACACGGTGGTGTGGCTTAGGCACTGCTTTGGTGGGATGGATGCGGCGCTTGATCGCAGGGCGGCGGCTCTTGTCGAGCACGAGGCGTGGCGGCACATTTCGATGGGGAGCGAGTTAGGGTCGGATTCCTCATCGATGCGGGAAGACATCTGATATAATCCTTCTATCTTCGTCATTCGTTTGGGGCTGGCGCTAAACAAATCAATTGTGGTCACGAACCGTGTATTAATATTAATACTTGTGTTCTTATGCAATGCAATCCGCCATTTTGCACGTTGACTTGTCAGACCGATGATAGCACAGCGCCAGAGCGAAGGCTCCAGCGCGCGAAAATTAGGAAAATTGGAGAATAAAAAGACCTCGGGGAGACTTTGCCGCCGATCTATCGTTTCAGGCAAGTAAAGAAGGACTTTGGCAGACCGGAAGACACCACGCACACAACGCACACACACTCCACACAATGACACGCAACGCACACACACACACTGTCCCTCTCCAACTTTCTCTCTTTCAAAGATTCGACCTCGAGGTGCCCCTCCGGCGCTGCCCCCCCCGCCCTCACCAAACAGATGGGACCACATGTGATCGGAGTGCTGCTCACACCGTGGACCACGACGATACAATGCGACCCGGTGATCGCAGTACTGGTGTGAGCGGTCGCTGGCGGCGAGAAGGGCGCCATGCTCACAGCTTGCAGTCGCCGGCAGCCCTGTGCGAGGGCTTTCTTGCTGCCCAACTCTGGCGTCCGCTGCCTCGGGAGGCTCAGCCTCTCCCCACCACCAATCCACTCAACACCTCTGAGTTGCCTTGGCCTTCCTCGAGGGTGTTTTCTGCATGACCTCCATCCCACTGGTCCACCTGACATAATGGCAAGGTACCTGGTGGTTGATCTTTGGGTATCTAGACAGTTTTGGAAACTTGCATCACAGTAAATGGTGGGTGATAAAGTGGCTGAGGGTCGGTGGTAACTTCCATGGCCCGCTGTACCCTTCAGATATAACAGAATCCACGGGTGAATATTCCAATGTTCAAGGGAAGGCGCTGCCAGATACTTTGAGAGTTCGCCCACAGCGTGCGCAATATCAGGTCGGGTAACCACAGCTGCGTAGTCTAAAGACGCATATGGTCAAGTCACTTTTTCCTCCTCCGTCATTGGAACCCCTTTCACAAACTTCTCGCTTTTGTCGATGGGTGTTGAAGTCTCCTTCGCCATGCCCTGTCCATACTCGTCCATCAAGTGATTTATGTAACGGGTCTGGTGAAGCTGTACCAAGTACACAACGCCTTTGGGAGGCATAGATGGGCCACAAAGTACTTTGCCCCATGCATCGAAGAAATCAAAGTGAACTGCCCAAGCCAAAAGAAAGAAGACCAAAGTTGTCCTTAAGACGGAACGCAGATCTCATCCCAGCTGGATACGCAGCCTCAAGCTCCGCATGGGTATGAAGATCAAAATAGTCATCAACCCAACGAGTGACAATGCCAAACTGGTCCACCCCATCAATAATACACTGCTTCACAAAGCAGCAGGGGTCTGCTGGACACTGCGAGTATCCCATCTCAAGCAGCTGAGAGTCAGAGGTTAAACCCCTCAACATTTCCGTAGATTGTCTTGGTACACAGCCAGATTTCTCCTTTTGGAGATCGTACATAGAAAGGTTTTCGAGCCGATGCATGCAGGAACGCCGTCTCCACATCAGACTGGCGAATTGCAATTCCCTCATGAGCACTAAGTGCTGCAAGAGTCCGAAGAGTCTGCCAACGTGGGGTTGGCGCAAAGGTTTCTGCCTCAGCGAGGTCCTGCTTGCTCCCATCCACAACCCATCTGGCCTTATACCGCTCCAAAGCACCATCGGAGGTGAACTTTTGCGAGTAAATCATGAACATGTGGTAGATGATCTCCCCATCCGGGACATCTTCCCAGCGAACCACCTTCTACACATTCTGGTCCTTGAACAACTTTTCTTCCTTGTTGTCTGCTTTCATCCACTCCTCCCAGTCATCCCGACAGCATTGCCTCCTTCCTTGACTTTGGCCATAGTTGACTACTGTCCGGAGCACCACAAACTTTTAGGGCAACATCTGTCTCCCCATCCGCTTGTGAGATCTCCATGCGATCCTGCCTTGTCCAGGAGTGAAGCCAGCATAGCTCGGCGTGTGGTCCGACCCTCGTGCATAGCGCAACAGTCCGGCCGGTCTGACCGATCCCAGAGAAAGTACTGTTCGGGCCTCGGAATCTGAGAGTCCTGTCGGGGCGTTCACGGACGGGTGAGCTCTGCCGGTGGGATTGCCCCTGGCGCCGGAATACGGAAAGCCGGAGCTGGGTTGTGCGGATGTCTCTCTGTTGCAGAAGGCCACGCGCAGCGGATGCAGCTGTCGCAGTTCGAGGTCGAGAAGAGGAAGGTTCTGCCAAAGAGCACGATCTCCTTTGAGGGCGGTTCCGGCTCCAACCAGGCTGGCGTTGTCAGCGGGTTTGAGACTGGTGCGGGGTGGGCTCTTGCGCAATCGACCCAGCAAGTACAACTTCACCCAGTCCTTCACTGTCATAGTTTTCGTGTGTGCGACATTGACATAGCGCAATCAAAAAGAGTTCGGTGATCGCGCTCAATAAAACCGTTTTGCTGATGGGCATAGGGAACAGTGTGGCGATGTTCAATTTCCAGTGAGGTGAGGTGGTCCTCAAACGCTTTGGAAATATACTCCCCAGTGTTGTCTGTTTGCATCGCTTTGATGACATATGAAGTCTGAGTGGTCAAAAAAACGGAAAATACGTCAAAGTTGGTCCAGGCCTGAGTGCGAGATTTCAGCAGGTAAGAAACGGCCAGGCCTGAGAAACGGTCTTTAAGGGTTTGAACGTAACGGTGACCGCCCCGAGAAGGCGGCCAAAATAGGCCCCTGATATCTTGGACAATGATATTGCCAACTGCACGAGCCGGTGTGTCAGATGATGGGAAAGGCTGGCGATGGCTTTTCCTGAAAACACAGCCTTCACAGAGCGGTAAGGACTGATCGATCTCAATCACCTTGAAATCATTCGTATGGACCCGTAGAAGCTTGAGATACTTCTCATTCAGATGGCCTAAACGTGCATGAAGTAGAGGGAGGCTTGGTGTCTCGTTATGGGAACTAAGAAACACAAGAGAGTCCTCTGTCGCTGATGTTGCATTTCCACCGACGTAGCAGAGACCATCACAGTGAAGCTGACCAACGCCAATCAGGATTGTCGAAGGCTGAAGGTGTGTAACAAAATCGCCATCAACAATCCAGACGTGTCCCCCACCAAACAGCACGCTTTTCCCATGCTTTTTGGCAAGCTGGCTCACTGAGAGCAGGTTGGTCGAGAGCGATGGATTATAGCAAACACCAGTTAGAGAGAGGTCCACAGACCCGGAAGGAGTACCTATTACTCACATGACAGAAATAAGAAATGAGAAGACACTTTTGCAGCCCCTGTCGTCCAACTGACAGGATATCACCATCGAAAAGTCATTCTCGGTGAAGATCGGCGTTCAAACCGTCGTGGGGGCGCCTCTGTTTTGTTTTGCCGTGCGATCGCCGTGCACTCGTACTCTGGCAACCCGCGCGATCGCTTTCAACATCGCCGCCCTATTTGCCAACACAACTGCTGGCTCTCGTCCTTCAAGAACTGTGGCCCAAATCTCTGAGCAAGGTCAGATCAGTCAGCCTCCTGGATTTCTTGTTTCGAAATCTGCCCAGCGATCGGCTGGTGGAGTGGCACGATGGCGACTCCATTGCCTCTGTTGCCGCTCGAGTGTGATGAACGTGCAGTGAGATGGGCGCCCGATGAGGCAGTACAGTGGTGGAAAGACAGCATCCTTAATTTCAAGAACGACACAAGAGCCCAGCGAGTTGGGGGATAGTGAGACACTCCAAGAAGAGACGGCGCTTCGCTCGTAACAAGAAAAGGACTCATGCTCTAAACAAGCTTTATCACTCCACGCCAACTCAAGTCTGTTGGCGCCCTTCTGACACGCCAGGTGCAATCACGAACATTTGGGAGAATCTCCCTGCAGAAGCAACGGTCTCCTGAGCGAGACCATGTACGCCGCTGGTGGGTCAACGAGCGGCTGTGTCGCACACCCTCATCTTACCTTTTCAATTCAACAGCCAGGCTGCGAACACGCTCCAGACATCAGACGCGCATCCGCTGGTCTTCATGAAGATTGCCCCATCATTTTGGCCAGTTGGGGGGCATCCTTTTTCGGATGATCATTATTGCTGCAATCGTCCACTGGGTTGGGGGGTGTATTAGGGAATGAGATGAGGAGGGGAACGCTGCGTGGTGGTCAGCGAACCTTGTCAACAACAACGAGGACGTCGATTGGACGGGGCACCGTCTGGCTCACCACCAGTGTCGAGTCGGTCGAAGAAGCTGCCATAACAACACCCTCATTGGACCATTGGACCATTACCATTGGGCATCATCATTAGATGCTGACGGCGCAAGGCCTGGCGGCCATCGAGGCCCAGATCCACGCCATCCAGGTCTCCGCAAAGGCGCTGGCAGCCGCCGTCTCTGCAGCTGCAGCCACCACCGCCGTCGTTACCGCAGTCGCCACCCTCAAAGGCGGTGAAGCGTCCTCTTCGAACGAACCCGTCCGCGAGCACTTTGGCGCACTCCAAGCTGCTGTCGCCGCAGTGACAACACTTCTCACGAGCTTGAGGCTCCTTGATTCACCGCCCACCGCCACGACGGCCGTGCCAGTCCCCGCTCCCGCCCCACACGGCCCCTTGGCCGATGCTCCGACGAAGTCCTTCGTGCGCCGCAGCCTCTGGGACAAACTCTCACCCGAGCTTAAAAACACCATCCTCGCCCTCGCCAGCCCCGTAACCCAACTCCTGTCCGGCATCGACATCCAACCGCTCCACCCCGGCGGCTCCGGCGCCGATCGCGAACGAACCAGATCCGTGTGCCGCGACATCTTCGAACACGACCTCCACCACTTGCTCATCGATCCCAATACAGCACCCACACAGGCCGCGGCCGCGGCAGCAACGGCCGCCCGCGCGTTAAACTTTGCAGCGGTACTAAATGACGGCGTCTCCCTCAACTACCCCGACTACCTCCTCATCCGCAGCAGATCCATGTTCACAGTTGTCCATTCGAAGATGGACGACCGGTTCGTGCGCCAGCTCTACCCTGTTGCCGTGGCCCGCGACTGGCTGGACCTCGTTCGGCCTGGACCACGCGGCGAGAGCTCTATCGAGTCGAGCGACATTGCGCAGTCCGGCCTGCCGGTACACCGCGTCGTCGCGCTCTTTGCCGCGCAGCCCACGCTCAGCATCAACGACGGTTTTATCTACAACGCGGCCCGCGACGGCCGCGTTGACTTGCTGAGGTGGGCGGACGTGTTCAAGCCTTTTGATGCCCAAGTTGGGCTCAAGGTTGCCGCTGAGGCCGCCGAGTCGGGGCGAGTGCGCGTGCTCGAGTGGGTGATGGAGAGGTTCGGCAGCGAGTGCGTGGCCGGGGCGTTGGACGAGGCCGCGACGAAGGGACACCTTGCTGTCGTTGAGTATTTGCACGAGCGCGGAGCGCCGGCGACAGTCGCGGCGATGGATGGCGCCGCGGAGAATGGGCACATTGACGTGGTGAAGTTCCTGCACTCCCACCGCACCGAGGGCTGCACGGCGGACGCGCTCCATGGCGCACTGTATTCGGCGTCGACGGAGGATCGCGTGGATTTGAATATACGAGCAGAGGTGGTCAAGTTCCTGCTGGAACATCGTCCCGAGGTGGCAGACATTACGGCCGACCTCGTGTACGCGCCAATCCTCGAGCGCTTCCATGTGCTGCCACGAGCATGCTTGGAGATCATCCAGGTCTTGCATCGACTGTCCTTTGAAGACTGGACTGAGCCCTTGATGGAGTCTTCGGCAATGGACTTGGCCGCAGGCGCGGGACTTTTGGACGTCCTCGAATTTTTGCACAGCAACCGCCAGGACTCCCAGGAGGGCTGCACAGCAGCTGCTGTGAATGCGGCAGCGGCGGGCGGTCATTTGGCAGTTGTGAAATTCCTGCACAACCATTACACAGCGAACTTCACAGCGAATGCAATGGACAAAGCTGCAGCAGCGGGACACCAAGACGTGGTCGAGTTCTTGCACAAGCGTCGTGTCGAAGGCTGCACTAAGGAGGCCATGAATGGAGCAGCCAGCAACGGACATCTGAATGTGGTACAATACCTCCACGCGAACCGGAAGGAGGGGTGCAGCAAAAAGGCCATGGATATGGCAGCAGCGCGAGGATATCTGGAGGTGGTCAAATTTCTCCACGACAATCGATCCGAAGGATGCAGTCATGATGCCGCCGCCCGCGCCTCCCGAAACGGGCATTGGAGGGTGGTAAAGTACCTCGGCGTCACTTATGGTCTAACACCCGAAGGGACCAATGGCGAAAGCGATGACGGCAGCCAGAGGCACGCCAGTGGCAAGGAAATAACTGTACCAGCATTTTGGACCAAGGTCCTTGAGGAGCAGTCGCGCACCGGCAACCCCACCGTTCATCTGCTGCCGCTGGAGGGCATGCCTGTCGCCAGTATGGCTGTAGTGGTCGCCTCTTGCAGCGACGCAGCGCAGTGCGACCAACTTGCGTTGCGCTGCGTCCAGCTCGGGCTCGCAAAGCATCTTGACACAGTGCTGGAGGAAAGCCCCGACGCGCTCGCCACAGCGTCCCTTAACGTCGTCGTTGGCGACAACACGCTCAAGCACTGGGACGCGCCTTCGGATTACGAGCCAGCGAACCGGTCCGAGCGCGCAGCCGCAATCGACGGCCTCGGCGTCGCGGTGCTCAAATCCCTCCACTCCCGCCGGCCAGCGCTCTTCGCCGCTCGCGGCGCCGTCACGGCTTTGATGGAATCCTGCGTGCGCCACCTTCGCTTCGCCGTGCTGCAGTGGCTCTGTGAGGGCTTCCCGGAAGCGGCTGCCGCGCACCCGATGCTTGCCGGGTTCCGCCCGATGCTGGGCATGCTCGCGCGCAGTGGCGCGCGGACGGCGGTGGAGACGATGGACTTTGCTGTGTCCCGCGGGTCGCTGGACTCTGTTGTGTGGCTGCGGCACTGCTTTGGCGGCGTTGACGCCGCGCTGGAGCTCAGGGCGGCGGAGGTTGTCGAACACGAGGCGTGGCGGCACATTTCGATGGAGAGCGAGTTGGAGGATTCCTCTTCGATGCAGGAAGACACATAGATCGCAGAGGTGATTTGATTTCTTCTATCGTCGTCATTTGTTGTGGTGGGCTGCCGCTTTTACAAATAAAATGTAATCACGAAACCGTGTAAATCCTTTTTTTCATCTGGTTCCTCTGAGGCGACTCTTTTGCGTACGATCGAAGAGTCCGCATCGTCGGCGGCCCCAGAAACGCCGCACATCATCATCACAAAGATGCGTTCCCGCAAAATGGACGCACCCGAAGCGCCTGCCCGGTGCGAGTACTACTGGGGCTCGATCAACATTTCTTCGAAGAGATCATGCGCTGCCTTGCGCTGCGTGGCCAGGATTACCCATGAACTCCTCGATACACTTTCTTGTTGGCCTGTGTAAATATGTCTTCACCTTCATTCAGAATAGCCCTCTTTGCTTCCTACAGCTTCATAACTCTGACACAAACGAGCTTTCCAGCTACGATCCCATCTTCCATTGGCGCTGCGAAGCACTAATTAGGCCTCCAAACAAGCATTTAGCCCGTCTCCTTCCCAATCCAACTCCAACCACGATGCGCACAGGCTGAAATCATTGGCTGCCTGCGTTCCACCAGACAATTTGCAAGTCTGTCAGCGATTAGAGTTGTGTGACTCGAACCGCTCGAGGACAATCCTCAGAGGGGCATTCCTATGACTGATGCGGAGGCAGCTAATGATGCTGCTGCTGCTGCTGTTCCTGCGGCAGTTGGAACTCATACACGTTCCAAACATGACCGATGCGTCACCGCCTGCGCCGACGCAGCCCAGAGGGACAGCCTCGCGCAGCACGGCGTGCAGCTAGGACTCGCGCACTTCGATGCCGTGCTGGCTGGAGCGCATGCGCAGGGCTGTGGCGGTTGTCGAGCATCATGTGTGTGACGGCACAATTGGATGCGGAGCGAATCGCTGTGGATTCCCATTGGAAGAATCTTGATGGGGTTGCCTCGATGGAAAACGCACTTGACTTTAATCACTTCTATCCGGTAGGGCTTGCAATTGAAAGAAAACAAAGTGAGGTTCTTTATTTGGTTTGCAAAATCTGGCTATTTAAGTGAGCACACATTCAACACAACAAGCTTTTTCCAAGGCTCTCTCGTTTGCGCTCTGCCCTAACCCTGTCGTCGGTTCGCAAATGCCGCACAGCGCCACACAAACAAATTCTCCCACACAGCGCACCTACCAGGAGATACCCATCTGTTAGTCGTCCGGGTTAGGCGAGTGCGACTGGGGTGACAACCAAGAAAAAAAGAAAGAAAAAAAAAATCAGCACACGTTACTTCTGCATGGTAAAACCAAGCCCTCACCGTGCATCCGAATTTCACCCAGCACGTT